AGTGTGTTCTGTTTCGTGTTTTGTTTTCTTCTGTTGTTGTTGTTTTCTGTTGTTTGGTTTTATTCTCTCCCCTCCGGTCCCAAACTTTATAGCACTCTGGTGCAGGAAGAAGCAGAAGCAAAAACAAAAAAACAAAAAAACAAAAAAAACAAAAAAACAACAACAAAAAAAACTTTAAAAAAGAAAAAAAAAGAGCCGAGACATGCCATCTTTTCCCTTCGCACTGTTGCTTTTCCTGATGGTTAATACTACTGTCACGTTAGCTGTGTTCAGAGATGTGAAATACTTTCAGGCAAAAATAAACTGTAAGTGACTCATTGACATCTGGCCTTTCTGTGTGGCTTCGAGGGAGCCTTTCGGCGGGGACGGGAAGGGGACAAGACCTGGGCCGAGGTCAGGACTCCTCTGAACGTCCCGAGCTGCTCACTCTCGGCACCGTTGACATTGGGGGCCAGACCCTCCTTTGTCACGAGGCCGTTCTGTGCATCCGAGAATGTCCTGCGTTGCCCCTGGCCTCGGCCTGCTAGATGCCAATAGTACCCAGTCCCCCCACCCGCAGACTAACAACCAAAAATGTCCACCAGGGACAAAATCACTCCCTGGGGGAAACCCAGGCTGCCAGTCTCTGCATCAGGGCCCTTACGGCAGCTCTCGTCCAGAACTTCTAGGACCGATGGGCCTGTTCGTCACCTGGGGGTCTTGGGAAAATGCGAGTTACGATTTCCAAGGTCTGGGTGGGGCCCGAGACTCTGCTTTCCAGGACCTCTGGGAAACCCAGATGCTGCTGGTTTTTGGAAGCCTCTCTGAGTTCAGCAGCCTAGAACCATCCACCCGGCTGCCCGCTCACCCACATGTCCCCAGGAGGCAGTTGGAGGAGTCCAAGGAGAGACTTTGTTTCCACCCCTCTCCTAAGTCATTCGCTTTGCAGGGTTTCTTTGCCCAGTGTTACCCCAGCCCAGTGGCCCGTCGCTCACGCCCCACATCCAGCACGTTGCCTGCCTTCAGAAGCCGCTTGAGAATGTTCCTGAGTCTCCTCCTCCTCCATCAGTATCTCCACCTCCCTCACCCTGGGCCGGGCCCCTCATCCCTGTCCAGGGGACCGAGCAGCCGCCTCACTGCCTCCCCGGTCCATCCTACACCACCTTCCTACCCTCGCTACCTGCCCTGCCTCTCCACATCCCTGCTGCCCGCTCCTGGCCCTCCTCACTTCCAGAGGCCTCTGGCCACACAGGGAAAGCAGGAGCCGTGGGCGAGGATCAGGAGGGCCCCAGACTTCAGGCGTGGCGGGTGGGCCAGCTACAGGAGGAGACGTGCGTGTACGAGGCGCGAACGCCTGCTCCATCCCCCATCCTTCGCACCCGGGAGAGGGGGGCGGCTCACAGCAGGTGCGCCCGATACCAGATGGAAGGGGGGTCCCTGCCAGCCGTCCCATCCTCGGTCCTCCTCCTCGCTCTGTCCTGCGTCACCTGGGGCTCCTCCGCCCACTGGCTTCTGGGGGAGCCTGGAGAGTGAGGCTGCCCGGCCAGGGGTTCCCCTGGGCGTCCCAGCTTCACAGTAGTTCCCTCCACAACTCTGGGTCTCGGAGGAACACCTCTCCCCTCTCCGGGTCTTAGTCCGGCTGGACCTGCCCGCTCCGCTGGGGAACCTCACATCCTTTGCCCCCGCCTGCCCCCCAGAATGCCAAGAGTCCAGCCAGTGCCCTCCCCTGGCACAGCCGAGCCACGGTGTGTCTTTGCTTTTAACCCAGTGGCTTGAAACAACAGAAACTTACTCTCTCGAGGTTCTAAAGACCAGGACGTCAGCAGGGCCCCGCATTGTCTGAAAACTCTAGAGGAGAAAACTTTCCCTCTCTCTTCCAGCTCCCGGGGGGGTCCTGGTGTTCCCGGTTGTGGCTTTGCCCCTCCAGCCTCTGCTGTGTCCCACACGCCAACCCCCCACCCCTTCAGCGAATCTCCCTCTGCTTTCTCTTATCAGGACATCTGCCATTGGATTTAGGACCCACCTGGATGACCCAGGATGACCCTGTGGACAGATCCTTAACATGATCACATCTGCAAAGACTCTTTTTCCAAATAAGGTCATAGTCACCCGTTCCAGGTGAATGTATCTTCTGGATTTGACGTTTCATTAATCCTCCTTTGATGACTGGGGTTCATCTTGAAGGCTATGAATGATAGGGAGGTTGCAATGATCGGGCTCATTTTCTAACGAAATGCTTACACCGCCCCTCCTGTGTGCCAGGCACAGTAGCAAGGGTAAGGCTTGTAGGTCTGAACTCATTTACGCCTGATACGCCTAAGGGGTGGGTGCAGATATGATCCCTCTTGACCGATGGGGAAGTGGAGGCCAGGAGAGGGTGGGTCTCTTGGTCAAGGCCACACGGGGAGCGGGGGACGCAGCCCACCTTAGAACCCAGGCATTTTGGGAAGATCTCTCCACTGCTGGCTGGTGAATGGATGGGGCTGGGACCAGGGCAGGGACCTTGGAAAGAAAGATTCAAGAGGAGCTTGGGAGTGAAAGTGCGGAACACGGTGCCTGGCATGGAGGGAAGGCCAGCAAGGAGTCAAGGGTAATGTTCACGTTCCTTGGCTTCTTCTCACTGGGGGCTTCGAGGGTCTAGAATTAGCACCTCTGCCTGCCAGCAGCTTTCTCAGTGGCCTGCAGGGCTGGTGTGTCAGTGCCCCTGCGTTCTCCCTCCTCGTGGAGGTGGAGACTCCCATCTGCTTCCCCTGGAGACAGTCTGCTGTCCCCAGGGCTCACCAGCCTGTTAGCACTTACTTCTGCTCTCACCCTCACTTTCCCTCATCCCATCCTGGGACCACTTCCCAAATAAGCCACCTATGCTGGAATCTTCATCCCAGAGCTTGCTTCTGGGGAAGCCCAAACAAAGACGGTGGCTAACCATGCTAGGCGACAGAGGGACAGGTTACAGGGGGAGCCCCCTCCCCCACAGGCTGAGAAAGCCCTCCTAAGGAGACTGCACGGTCGCCGGGCACATCTGCCTCAGCCTCAGCCAAGCCACAAGGACCGTGCAACTGGGGACCCAAGAATCAGCTTGCACCTGTTTTCAGAGGTGGAGGTGGAAGCTGCCAGATGCTCTCACACATTGCTGGCAGGCATAGAAATTGGTTCGGCGGGTTTGGAAAGCGTATCGACTAAAAGCTAACCATCCAGCCCACCCTGTGACCCCACAACCCCACTCCTGGGTATATAGACCCGGGAGAACCGAGCGCACGTGTCCACCAGAAGACACAGACAAGGGTGTTTATAGCAGCATTATTCGTAAGAGCCAAAAAGCGGAAGCAACCCAAATGTCCACTAAGAGGAGAATAAACAAACCAGGGTGGTTTCGCAGTGGAAGAGCTTGAGCGCCCCCCCCCCCTTCAACAGGAGAATCAATCAAACGCACAGCGACTTAGTCATGTGATGGAATTCTGCAGAAAAAGGCCAAAAGAGCCAACTTCTGATACCCACAGTGGCGTGAATTAATTGGACACATGTTACGTGTGTGGAAAGAGCCAGGAGGGCCTGCCGGAGGATTCCATTTATGTGAAGTGCATGGACGGGCACGAGGCATCTATGACTACAGAGGTGATAACCGTGGTTACTGATAGTGCAGGGGGCGGGAGGTGTCATCGACTGGGAATGTTAAGAGGGAAGCTTCTGGGGTGATGAAGATGCTCTACAGCTCGATCTGCAGCCACACGGGTGTTTAAACACCCCTGGAGCTCCACATTTTTAAGATTTGTGTCGTTTATTTTCTGTGTTACACACCCCCTTTTTAAAAGTGGCATCAGGTCGACACACCCCAAACATCCACCAACAGGTAATAGATGTGTATTTACA